AACCCCCTCTGCTCTCTTTCATATCTGTCGTCTTCTGCCACCCCTCCGTCTCCCCTCCGCAGCTCTCACCCCCCGTCCTCCCCCTTCACCACTCCTCCTATACTCACAGAGACAGCTGGTTAATGTTTCAACAAGCACAAATTACACTTGCAAGTTTGCTTTCCTGTCTTTTATAAACTCTCTCAGCGAGAGTGAAAATTTTCACGGCTTCTTACAGACAGATGAGCAACAACACTCGTTTTGCCAAGAGAATTGTCCCAGTGTCACTCGAAATAAATCGATCCTTTTACTGAACTCTCAGGGATATAAGTGAATATCGTTAGCTTGAGATATGGAATTTTCTAGAGCCATATTTTTCATTGGTCATCTCATTGTATATAATAGGAATCGAAATAATCTAATATAAGAGCAGAGCAAAATTGATTAATTCAATTGATATCAAGTTGGGACACGGAAGCTGTGAATGTGGATGTAGATATTTCTTAGTATAATGTCAGTTTATGCTACGGCACTTGGCGCCTCGTTGAGTCAGTTCCTTCTCGGATTTCAAAACGAATGGACCACTTAAATAAATGCCTAACTCCACCTCAGCTTCAGTATCTCGGTGTCACAAATTATTTCTATATCGCTGTCCCTACATTCCTGCATCATTCCAACTTATCACCTTTCTCAAAATAAAAAAAATTATTTTTCTCCACCCTCCCGTATCTACCCCTCCATACCTGTATCAAATACAATTTCAAGGACACCCAGCAAGCGCAATGACGAACTGCGCACCTTCCGTTGCATATTTCGCGCCACGAGATTAACTCCTAAAAACCGACAAAACCCCAATTGATCATGTCCACTGTAACCCAACAATTCGTCAAAAGGAGAAAATCAAACTAAACTTGAGCATCCGGAAAAACCAGCCGCTAGGTTTCTCCCTCAGCCTTTATCCTCAACCCATGACAAAGACCAAGAGAGTGATTTGTGTCGTTGGCCATTCTTCTGAACGTCACCAACCAAAACTCCGCTTTTCCACTCTCTCTCTCTTCTCCACTTGCACTCCTTCTTTCCTGTTTTATCCCCCTCTCCCCCGAGGGGTCATATATACCTTTTCCCCTCTTTCTCCTCTAGATATGGCGCTGGTAATATACGATCTCTGCATCTGTTCCCAGAGTGACGCAACGTCCCGCCATAGATCACACCCAGGGCTTTTAGAGAGTGAAGGCTGTTAAGGAGAGAGCGTGGCGAGGGTGTTCTAGGCGAAGAGACAAAGATATAGGTGGCTATAGTTACACACACACACATACTTTGTACAAGGGGAAAAGGAGGGGGGAGGGGGGTAAAAAGACCGACAGAAGGCCGTCAGGGTGACGTACGGTTACTGTTAAAACTCGGGATGGCGTCGGGATGTACACGTTAAAGAAGAACGGTGAGTGCACCCAGTGACTCCACTCGTTCACGAGGTGGGTGGGTGGGTGGTGAGCCGTAGGGGGCGGTCGGGGATCGAGGGGAAGGTATGGAGAAGGCACAGGGGATTGGCGAGGCGACAGATAGCCGGGACTCATCGCACACTCAACTCACTTATACATCCACAGCTACCACGAGTATAACTTTACCTTTTGGTAGGTGAGTCCTTACCTTACGGAATATACTTGCGAGTCAGATATTTATGATACTTGTATGTATTGCTTTGCGCTACCTGCTGAAACTTTTCGTTACATCTCGATTTTTTTAAAGGGTGAAAAATCGAATGCAGCACAATATTCCGAGAAATTCGTTCGGCAAAATTTTTTTCAATACTGTTATTACGATTCAAGTCATGAAAATTGAGTGCGGGTTGCCTCTCCCTAGCACCTTCTGATGGTATGCGTCATGGCCATTGAAGAGGGAGATATACGAGCTCATGTGAGTTTGTTTGCGCTTGGAAGATCGCTCCCTGGTATGGTGTTGGTACGCGAAAATACGTATGTGAGAAGGAAAAGAACGACTGGGGAGGGTGTTGAGGGGGTAGTATATCGTTTTATCGGTGCGCCCTTATTCCCATTATTCCCCCTTTTGCTTTCCACCTCTCTCTGCATCCACGGGCTTTACTTTTGGAATAGTCTCTCTCGTGTCGAGAGTGTAGTGCAAACGGGGGAGAAAGGGGGGGTTCACGTTGGGCGCGAATTAAAACGGCTCATAAATATCTGAAACAAAGGCGGCCGTTTTCCGAAGGGGCGGGAATAAGGGCTTGGGAGATATACGACTGTACACTGGCATTGGCGATGTGCTTTCCTCTTACACGTGCCACCCCTAGACAAATAGAAAAGAACATTATTTTCAATATCTTCGATGATGACGAAAGAAAAATATATTTATTGATACCCTGGGATACGAATTCCCAGCTGACTCGCTAAATAGTACATTGTCGTTTCTACGCAGTGCAGATATAATGCAGTAATTTTTATTTATAATTGATGAGTGAATGGATGGTGATATTGTGGCTTAGCGGTATTACTGATTTATTTCTCTTGTGAATTTCAGGTAAGTAGTGGTCTCCAATCGTTCAAAAAGCAAGCGGCCAACTCGCCGCGCCGGACGGAAGATATGCGCAGCAAGCAACAGCCAAGGCCCTCCTTCCGGTGGCCGCAGCAACGCGGCGATAACGCTACCGGTAAATATTGCCAAAAGAAAAAAAAATTCAATGAATCACCCCAAAGAACCCAAAACCCAAAACCTCTGAATCGCACGAAGAATAGTTCTAGTCAATTGTTATTGCACGACATGACAACAAAACAACAACTCTCCTCCCCCCGGAACTGTTATTCCTTTTTACCCGAGATGGCCTGTACGTCTAGTCGTAGCATCAGAAAATGTCTCGTCTATATCTAGTCTGATGTTTTATCAGTGACACGTCAGAAACCCGGTTTTCAATGTGACACCAAAGGAATATGGCGTCAGTTCGGGGGAAATATGTACAGAGGGTTGAATGTATTGCGTGCTGTATGCTAGTTGATGTTTTTTTTCTCTTTCTCCTTTTTTTTCATCGATTTCGTTATCTTTTCTGAGGAATTGACGCGGAGATGACGAAATGTTTAGTATTTCTCCCAGCATGTAATATGTCGAAGTAATTTATTTATAAATTGAATAAAATTCATTTGAATATTCTATCAATTAAATAACAAAAAAAAATTACGCTCCACGAAATTGAAAAATAATTGCATCACTTTGTAAATAAATTGTACCTAAGTTGTTGGATTAATTCAAAGAAATATTTAAAGAAATAAAACAATGAATAAAAGAATTTATTGGGTTGAGAGGCGTAATTCAGCCGAGTGTATGATACAACGCGCAATATATCCACTCACATAAATGATCTATCAATATAAACGAAGAATAAATGACACACCATAAAGCATTCAATAAAGTCTCCAATTTCTTCATCTATTTGTTCTCATTAAACGAATCGTTTGATGATCTCCCTCCACCCATCGCCGTCCATCCAATCTCGCGAGATAGCGTGTGGCATCGAATTCACTATTGGGTACAACGGTATATAGAACAGAGAAAAGAAAGATAGGGTAAAAAGAGGAATCACCGTACAAAAGATGGAGGAAACACCGGACACGACGCCGATTATTCGAGAGCACAAAAGGTAGTGAGGGGTCATGGTACCTGCAGGATAGATCAGACAGGAGTTTGTCGAGTTACTGAGGGGGTGGAAATGTGTCGCTACATACGTACCACCCCCTCATACCCCATCCACACATACATGTAAAATAACACAAATACAATTGAAGAGAATTTAACGTAAGTCCGCCTCCGGCCAGTCGACGTTTGCACGACTACTCTCTCTCTCTTCTCTCCCGTCGGATTTTCGTATTGACAGATATTTAAATGAATATTCCTATGGTAGCTGATCCTCTTTGAAATCAAAGCAGCAGATTCGCCAGAGGGACAGTATTCAGTTATGGGGGGGAAAGATTCATTTAGACGTGCGCCAATATTCGCCTTCTCTACATGCGACTACAGTCTGTACTCATTTTTTTTTTTCAGTTATTTGTGGTTGTGAGTTTTACCTGGGGGCACCTTGCGCTCTTCCCCTTCGTACGATTCTACGGGATTCTTCTTTTTTTAAATCGTGTCATACGCATGACCCCGCACTGATATATACACATTTTTTCATGGTCAATCCTTTTTCGTTGGGCTGAATCGATTCTTTTCTTGTCTGACAATTATCGGTTTGAGACTTAATTATCATTTGAGAATCTCATTCTCTTATCTATTGAGAATTTGTCGCAGGAGTAAATGGATTATTGCATAATTTTGATATGATCCTGGATTTACGTTGTCCCATCGAAAAGAAGGTAGTTGTGCAATGCAGAATGCCCTGGGCCACTGGTGGGCGCCGTGAGGTTAGTAGTGGAGAGAGAGCACTTTACGTGCGTCATTTAAGAGAAGCTTAATGCCGCCGTAAAATGCAACCAAATGGCCCACCGACACTCGTCCCTTCATCTTTCACCTTATACCATGAGGCGGTTTTTATGTATTCAGGATGCTCGAATCTTTGCTCAATGAGGGAGCCAAAATGTGGCTACACACCCAATACGTGGTATTTGTGAATTCCATTCAAATATCAGGGGTAATAACAATAAAGTTTAAAGGATTTTTTTATTGGGGTTATTTGTGGGAAAAAAATGACGGGATTATGCCCATTTAATTGGCTGATAATCAAGTTTACGGATGAGAAATACAAATTTGAAGATTGCAAATATTTCTACCCATTTGAGAGTGAATTCCATGAACAAATACATTATGTAATCCATGCTATATATTGTGCGTTAAAATTACCGAATAATTTATGAAAAAAAAAACATTTTTATCTGGAATTACTCGGCGAATTTTTTCGATGGATTATTCATTGGTGAAATCACTGTCACCTTGGATTGAAGTCCTCCAATTTTTCAGTAATTTTTATTGTACTTTTCTCCCCATCCTGAATTTATGCTTACCTCTTCTTCATTTATATTTTTGAAACATTGAAATGACATTCCTAGGATTACTAGGCATAATGAAGCAGCCCGTAATGGGCGTAATGCCACGAAAAAAAAAAAATACGTGCGAAACGCAACAAAATGTTTTGTTGTTTAATGGAGAAGAAATACCCAAGTATTGTTATGTACAAAGCCCCCGCGGGTTGACATGTCCCTTTTCGGTGGGAATACTCTCCTCGATTCTCGACTCGCGGCATTTTAATCCACCGATGTCACAGCTCTATCTACCTCCTTTCTCCCTGTCTCTCTTCTTCCCAAAGAATAATTAGCCCGAAAATTTGTTGCGAACGTGGAGAGCAGGCGAATTGCCACGAAACGCAACAAAAGAACGAAAATATTAGTTGTCTGAGGCTGTCTCGGGCTTTTCATTCCTCCGCGGACCAAAATGTGTCACATTTTCTTGTAGTGACGTGGCAACTAACCTGTTGCCGTGAATATGAAAATAGTTGGGAAAAAGTTGAGTGCTCGGAGTGTAAATTTGTTGATATTCATTCTCCTGTATATCAGTTTATTTATTCAATCACCGATGAGATCCGAAAATTGAATTGCTCGCACTGATCGTTTTTATTTTCTCCGGAATCCCAGAGTTTTTCCATTTTTTTCATCCCTCCTTTCATGTCCCGGCGTTTTTATAGCATTCGACAGGTCAGATCGAAACCCGCAGGACAAAATCCATGATTTCCCTTCAATGGTAATTTTTTTTTGGCAATTTTCAGTATCTGTTGCATCCAAATCCTCAGTGATCGAGATTTTCATTTAATCCGAGATTAAATTATTCCAGCGAGTTATCATTTATTTATAAAAAGTCAGTATAATTGAATTTTTTTTGTAATGAGCTCTGATTTAAAATTTCATCAAAACACATCAATGAAGAAGTCGGCAGAAATTTTACGTTGACTTATCCAAAACTGGTAAAAAATTTCGAGTTCTTAAAATAAAAATTTCCGAATGTAATTTTCCACCCGTATTCGTCTCGTCTTCTCGAAATTAGACTGAGGGGAATTTCGGTAAAAATATATAATTTTTTCAGTGGAGGATATTTCACGAGTTAGCAGTAAAAAAAATCCTCATCCAAAATCCTTGTCTCCCCCCTGGCAAAACAGCGTAATTGCATCCACTCTCATCCTCCCAGTTGTCCTTTCATCCTCATAATTTTTTACTCCGATCCCTCCACCACTCCATTTCTTTTTCTTCGTGTTTTCCGGAGTGAGTGGAAGATGCAGCGATGGCCGGAGGAGAGAAGGTTGAGTGAACTGTCTGTCCTGTCCATCATGTTGCCAGCGTCAGATTATCGTTCTGACACTTTCCAAGTTATTCGGACCGTATACAGTACCTCATTTCTGTCTCATCCACAACGATTCTCTACCATATGCACTTCGTACACTTTCTTCTCATTTCACTTCTACATCGTCTCGTCTTCCCATTTTCTGTTGGTGAGTATTTTTCAGGCGCGTCACTAGTTAAACCGAGACGTGCGCGACATATGTCCACTTAACTCGTTTGGTCACTGCGTCGATCATATTTCTCGATCGGAGATGTCTCGAGATTCAAGGTGAACTCGATGGACCATATTTATTTGCATTCAGCGACACTCATTATTTCATCTTTATACATCAACCTTTGAATCATTTATGAGTAAAAAAAAGGGGTTAGTCCATCACATAAACCATTCAATTGATGCGCTCTAGAAAAATTTTCATCCAATCCTATCGGAAAAATTCCGGGGAAGTCATTGAGTTATTTAGCCACTGGAAAATTTCTAGGAATGTACTTTGACAAATTAATCCACTGATAATAAATACACTTACTCATTTCAAATAAATAAATAAATTTATTTCCCGCCCCGCGTCCAATTGTCCAAATATCATTGACCGACGAAGATAAAAAAAAAAGGCCCGCCATTTCATCGGTTTGGAAATTCGTTTAATTTCCCTCCCCTCGCTTGATTATTTACGGCACACCCGTACAATTTATCGTGTCCCCCACTCGCATAATAAATCCCCCCGCGATTTTTAAATTCAATATCCTAAATTACCTCAACGCGGGCGAGTCAATATAACGCATCAGTACTTTTATTTCATCGAAACAATTTTTATTATTTAAACATGAACCGAAAAATGAAATAAAACTGAAACGGTGGGACACAGTGCGACGTGACCCAGCTTGACCAGAGGAGTCGGTAATTGGTTGAGAGAGATGGAGAAATATACGCGTGTGACCCCGACCATTCGCGTCATCCAATTAATAATTCAATCAGCGAACACGATTGGATTACCTTTTGGGTGGTAAAAAACCCAAGTATGCAGGCCCACCAGCTATATGTGAAACAATAATGAAGTGGAGAGGACTGTAAAAATATAAATAAACTACAACAACCAACGATAATGCAGCCAATAATCTACCCCTCACCTAAACACGCACTCTATTATATTAACGGGCATCGTGCAATCTAAGAGAAAATAAATCCATTAATTTCCACTAGATTGTAAAAGGTACATGAATGCCAGAAATTATTTTTTCATATCGTATTTTTGACTCGTGGATAAAAATCCTTTGAATTTCCCTGATTATCGCCCGACAAATATTTTCACTTTTAGCAGACACATGGGGAATAAAACAA